AAAAGAGACTCTCATAAAGATCTTTGGTGAGGGGGGTGGCCTGATCCTACAATTTTACAGGGGAAAAAAAGCTAAAACCTAGAGGTCAGAGATATTGCTAAAGTCACCTGGGAAGCTGCAGAGTCAAGAATGAAACTTATTACCAAGGCATGTTAATAAAATCAGCCTGTTCGCCTGGGTCATAAAGAAAAAATTTCCCCCTGACTCCATCAGAAAAAGTGAGCAAAACTGTTAATACTAGCCCCATGACATAGTATAGTGGGAGGCTATTTTTCTTACTCAAAAATATTTTGAAATAAAAAAAAGTATTTTGATACAATGCTGATAACATCATAACCATATTGTACCATTTTACCTCTTTCTGGCCCCAGAGTGATTTATTTGTATACCTCCTTTGATTTTTACAACGATAAGGTGGGCAGGGTCAGTATTAATCACTTCCATTTTACATGTAAATATATATATTTGCATTTTATAAGTTATATATGTTATTCTAATTTCTATACAAATCAAATCTCAGATCTAGGTCTACAACTCAAGACTTCTAACTCCTCATCTTGTGATCATTCTTAGTAAAACAAGACGTGGTAGACTGAGGTGCTCCAGGCGAGTGATAGGAGAGACAGCACCTCCACGGAAGGGGATCTGCCCTTGCGTGGGCCAGACAGCCCCAGCGGCAAGCTCTGCCCCCTCTCCAGGGCAGCAGAAGGGCAGGAGGAAGCAAGAGTGTAGCTGGGGCAGCACGTTCTCTTTACCCCCAGGAGAAAACGGCATCATTTGCCATTACACAGAGGCCAGCAAAGGATGAGTCCCAGTAAAAACTCAGGAGAGTTAACCTGTTGTCTTGAGGGCCAATGATCCAGAGCAGAAATCCCAGCAGACTCGGGCTGTCAGCTCCCACCCACCACTGGAACTGCCCACTGGCCCTTCCTTCCAGTGCTGTGTGGACAGAGTCGACAAATCCCACCCCAACCTCACTGTCCACCAATGGCCACAGGGACGTTCCACTGTTCAAAATCCTTCAAATTTGAAAGCGGGTATAAAAGCAGCAGGCAGGGCCCAGGCCCAGATCACCCCAGACCTCAGATGACATTACAGGGCTGAGGTCTTTCTCTTGGGGGTCAATGGTTACCCCAGCATTAAAAAAGAAAACAACTCACTCTGTGTGGAGGATGAATGGGAAAGAGCAAGATGAAAACCAAGCCCAGATGAGAGGGAAGGGAGCCCCTGAAGCAGAGCCAGAAGTGGGAGGGGATGGACTTGAGAAATACGGTGAGGAACCGAGGACCTGAGAGTCATCAATAAGGTGTGGGCGGGAAGAGAGGGGAGGCGGAAAGTATACATAGTCTCCCCAAAAGATGCCTTCCTTTCTTTCTATTTTTATTTTTTGATACATAGTCTCACTGTCACCCTAGGTAGAGTGCCATAGTGTCACCATAGCTCACAGCAACCTCAAACTCTTGGGCTTGATTGATCCCCTTGCCCCAGCCTCCCACGTAGCTGGGACTACAGGTGCCTGCTACAACATCCAGCTAGTTTTTCTATTTTTAGTAGCAACGGGGGAGCTCATGTTTGCTCAGGCTGGACTTGAACTCCTGAGCTCAAGCGATCTGCCCACCTAGGGCTCCCAGAGTGCTGGGATCCATAGGTGTGAGCCACCACTCCTGGCCTCCAGCTTTCATAACTAAAAATTTCTTAGGGTTAAATGAACAACAGCCAAACTCCACTGCCCAGGCCTGCAGTTTGACTCCTGTGGCTGAGGAGGCACCCACAGCCTCACCTTGGTAACCAGGTCCAATCTGCACGAGAAAAATAAAGTGCATTACGGGCTCTGAGTCTGGGTGCGTTGTGACATCTTGGTTGGCACCTGGCATGGAGCTTCATAATGCTGTGAGTTTTCTAGGGGTCCCAATAAAACCAGAGGCCTTATCTCTGGCCCTTGCTCCTAACAGGTGCAGCCTTCCCAAGAGAAGGGACCGGTCATAGCTGATAAGCATGGAAGATCTCTTAAGACGGGGTGCGTACTCACTGAAGATCCACTCACCCCAGAGCTACCTTTTTTTTTGAGACAGAGTCTCACTATGTTGCCTTTGGTAGAGTGCCATGGTGTCACAGCTGACAGCAACCTCAAACTCTCGAGCTTAAGTGATTCTCTTGCCTCAGCCTCCCAAGTATCTGGGACTACAGGCACCTGCCACAACGCCGGCTATTTTTGTTGCTGTTGTAGTTGTCATTGTTGTTTAGCAGGCCCAGGCTGCGTGTGAACCTGCCAGCCCTGGTGTATATGGCCAGCGCCCTAGCCCCGAGCTCCCAGAGCTACTTTTTATCTTATAGGTAAAATTTCCCATCTTAACCGCTAGGAAAAATGGAACAAAGGAGATGGGAAATGGCAAAGACACGGTTCCAAAGCCCTGTGTCACCTCTGCCACACACAACAACCTGAAACCCCTATGGACTCTGGCACCAACCTTGAGTTAAACTTTAGGGTACTCCCGGCCACCCTGAAGTCTGTCCCCATGAGGTCAATCTGCGCTCATGAGCCTTCAGGACACACCCCATTGCTGCTCCAGTCTCTAAGGTTGGCTAAAAGAGCCGCTTAAGCTTTGCTTTAGAGGAAGTCAGTCAAATTTGGAAGCAATTACCAAACCCAGAAAAGTTCAATAAAATGCACTTCGGGCAGCCCAAATGAAGAAAAAAATCCCCAACATGTGAATTCCTAATTGCTGTGTGTCTGGTTGCTTGGAAGTAATGAACGGTGACCCTTGTCTCACCACGACCTTTGCTTTATTGAAGGGTGGGGTTGCCTTTGATGAAGAAATACAATGGGCTTACAAAGCATTGCCCAGGAAGTTGCACAGAAGGTGGGCACCTGCAAACACCCTCCACTGGCCTGGACAGAGTTTCAAGGCAGCCCAGCAAAAGCCCTGCTAACCTGGGCAAGGGGCCAACTGAGCACTGTCAGGACAAGTCAACACACTGCCGGCTCCCTCCCTTTCCTAAAGACAGAAGTTGCCACACACAACAAAAATTCAGCACTAAAGGAAAGTAAAAATAAAAATAGGCGGTTCTTCTCCCTCCCTCCCCTTAAAGTGGAAAGCAAGGATAAGTCTTTGAGGCATTGAGCCCATGGACATGATTATACAGAAGAGATGGGACATCTAAAGACATGTCCTCGCTCAGCGACACTGCACTCCTCCTGGGCATACACAGCTCATTCAGTCTGTTTTTTTTCTGAGTCTCACTCTGTTGCCCTAGGTAGAGTGCCACAGCCTCAGCCTAGCTCACAGCAACCTAACTCCTGGGCTGAACTGATCCTCCTGCCTCAACCTCCGAAGTAGTTGGGACTACAGGCGCCTGCCACCACACCTGGCTAGTTTTTCTATTTTTAGTAGAGATGGGGGTCTCACTTTTTTTTTTTTTTGGAGACAGAGTTTCATGCTGTTGTTCTGAGTAGAGTGCCATGGCTGTCACACAGTAACTGCAATCTCTTGGGCTTAAGAGATTCTCTTGCCTCAGCCTCCCAAGTAGCTGGGACTATAGGTGCCTGCTACAATACCCTACTATTTTGTTGTGTTTTCTAGCAGACCTGGGCTGGGTTTGAACCCATCAGCCTCGGTGTATGTGGCCAGTGCCCTAGGGTGGTCTTGAGCTCCTGAGCTCAAGCGATCCACCCGCCTCGGCTTCCCAGAGTGCTAAGATTACAGGCATGAGCCACCTTGCCTGATAGCTAGTTCAGTCTGGAAGTACATTCAGCTATCATGGAGAAGAGGAAATGTCGCACCCCTGAGACTCTCCCCCGGAGTCTAAATTTGGTTCCTTGCTTATTCTCCGCCATTTCTCCTCTTCTGTCCCCACAAATGGTAACGCTGCGGTCCGGCTGGGGGTTTCTCTGGTTGCCATGTGTCTCCTTCCATGAAAACAGGAATTGGGCCTCCCTGACCTATTTCCTGCCTACAGTACTGAGTTTGGTATTTGGGAGGCCCCGGGAAATACCTGTGCATTCAGAGTGTGCCCTTGGGCAGTGTGTCTCTGCGCCTCAGATTCTTTGTCTGTAAAATGAGCACCACCACTGCTGGGGAGAAGCTGCTGAGAGGACTTGTGAGAACACTTCCCTCTCCTGGGTTCCCAAGTTTTTATTAAAAGAAAACAAACACTTTTTATTGCAAACACTTTTGTCATGTCCATCAACCCAGGAAAGGATTAACAAACTGTGGCACATGTATATACCATTCAGTCATAAAAGATAGAGACTTTACATCTTTTATGTTTATCTGGATGGAAATGGAGAACACTCTTTTTAGTAAAGTATCACAACAATGGAAAAGCAAGTATCCAGTGTACTCAATACTAATATGAAGCCAGTAGATGAACTAATACACGCCCACATAAGAGAAAAACACGATTCAGTTCAAGTTGGGGGGGGCGGGGAAGGAAGGTAGAGGCAGGAAGAGGAGAGGAGGTGGGGGCATGGGGACAATGTAAGGGCACATGGCACACCTCCAGGGCGCAGGACACAACTACAACAGGGACCTTACCTAACAAATGTAAACACTGTAAGCTAATCGTCTGCACCCTCTTATTTATTTGAAATTAAACACACACACATACACAAAAGAACACTTTTGTCCACCTGACCAAACAGTAAGTCTAAAAACGGTAACCATTAGCCATTAGGAAACAAATACTTTTTTATTCAAAGGAATTTGTTCTGTAACTTTTAGATTCAGTCAGAAGGCCACACCCGAGGATCTAGAAAGCCATGTGTGGCCCCAAGGCAGCAGGTCCCCACCCCTCGCTCACCCATCTAAGTTCCTTTTTTTGGATCCATGAAGGCCTTTTATTTTTCAGCCCTGAAATCCAAGGGCTGAAACTTGCATCTGGAGATGGTTCCAAGACCTTCTCCCACTGCCCGGGTTATTTGAAGATCCCCATTTTACAAATCTTTAGATCCCTGAGGGCTGTCCGTGTGTCTAAAAATAGGAGATGTCAAAATAGTTTACCTATGATGTTCACGGTACTATCCACTTCATTTTTTATCGCTGAAGTCAGGACCGCAAATTCAGGAGAAAGATCGCTTACTCCATTACCAAGCCCCAAAGAGGACTCAACTGGTTCTTGCTAGGAAGAAGAAAAGAAAAAAGAATTCAGAACACTTCCTTTTCCCTCTCTTAGTTGAAACCATACCCTCTGTCCGCTTTGTTTAATGCTAGGGTCATTCATGCTCAGGGGCCACACATGTTGCTGACTTCTTTACATCGGCCTGTGTTGAGAAGCAGGACTCTGCGTGCAGTGTGCACTGGTTATTCTGTTTCCCTCCAGGAAACAGCACCAGTGTGTCTGGCTGGGCTTAGGAAATGCCTCCACTTGTAGACCATGGCTTTGGGGCCCAGCAGGGCTGCATGACCTTCTGTGTCACCGTCCGTGTTAACTATGGCACTGCACAGGGAGTGCCCCAAAAACTGACACCTGGCTTCTCACTAAGGCACGCTCCTCCTTCACAATATGTCTTAGGAAAAGCTTTGTCTCCATGACTGGCCCGAGAACAGGAGCCCAGAGGAGCTGTAGGTGACTTCTCCTCAGATCCAGTCCACCATGGACTTTGGCCTCTCCAGCGCCCCACGCCTGGTGGCTGCCCAGTCACAGGGCCACCCTTGCAGCTGAAGCCTACCTCTCCCTGGCCCCAGTCCAGTCAGGCCAGGCCACACTCACAGCTTCACGAGAAAGCCCTGCAGGAGCCCACAAAGCCCATCCCACGAGTCTACGCGTTCGTACTAACAAGTAATGAGAATAGATCCCTTTTGTGGACTGACGCTCTGAATTCCTGCTTCATTCAGAGGCCCCCATGCCCTCTGACAGTGCCAGCCACCTCTGGGGAGGCCAGTCCTGAGGGACAGTGGCTTTCTGCATTTTGATGGGGAGCCTTTCCTTAGAGAAGCTTGCATTTGCTTCTAGGACAGCAACCATGTCGCGTCAGAGTCACGCTGCCTGCTAGGGAGCCTGCTGTGAAAGAAGCAGGTTGAGGGAGAACCAGCGCTGGGAGCAGAGGCCCAGTGTGGAGGCTGTGACTGACTGTGCTTTGCAGAGTCAGGAGGGGGACACTGCTCTAGGGCATGGTGAGCGTTCTCACCTACACATTTAGGCACTAGGCATTTAGAATCAATGACTGCCCCCCCAATATCCTGTAGAAGTCACACAGGGAAAGAGGGAAATAATCCCCTCCCTTCAGAATCCCATCTGGGAAATTCCTACCATAAAAACCATGGCTTCAAAACATCACTTCACTCCATGGCTTTTTCTTAAGAAAAACCACTCACTCACACACACACCCACACACACAAAATGTAACCTACCTATCTGTACCCTCCTATTAATCTGAAAAAAAAAAAAAAAAAACCCAGTGCATGGTTTATCAGATGTACCCAAGGCCATACCTATGGAGGCCCAGAGCAGACCCACTGGGCAGGACTATTGCTCCTTTCTCCTTGAGCACCTTGCAAAAAAGCTCACATGCCAGTGACCTGAGAGTCACCAGTTTTTGTTTCCCTTAGTGACCAAACTTTTTTTTTACTTTTGAGACACTGTTATAAGTGGGATTATAAGCACCCACCACCACACCCAGCTAGGTTTTCTGGTTTGTTTTTTTTTTTTATGGTTTTAACGTAAATATATTTTTTTATTTTGTTACAGTTTGGCCAGGGCTGGGTTTGAACCCACCACCCTCAGTATATGGGGCTGGTGTCCTACTCACTGAGCCGCAGGTGCTGCTCAAGGTTTTCTGTTTTTAGTAGTGATGGGTTCTCGTTCTTGCCCAGGCTGGCCTCCAACTCCTGAGCTCAACAGATCCAGCTGCCTCAGCCTCCCAGAGTGCTGGGATCACAGGCGTAACCAAACTTCCGAACCGCATCTGGTCTTCCTAACTTCACCTGCACTCTGTTGGCATCTGGGGTCTGCCTTCCACTCCGTGTGGAGAATCTAATTCCCAGGCAGGGTGGCAGGAGCCCAGCTTTGAGACCAGACAGGCTAGGGGCAAAGCTCGGTGTCCCTACATCTCACGAACTGTAGGACCTTCTTTTTTTTGAGACACAGCCTCAAGCTGTCGCCCTGGGTAGAGTGCCATGGGATCACAGCTCACAGCACCTCCAACTCCTGGGCTCAAGCGAGTCTCCTGCCTCAGCCTCCCAAGTAGCTGGGACTACAGGTGCCCGCCACAACACCTGGCTATTTTTTTTTTTTTTGGTTGCAGCCATCATTGTTGTTTGGCGGGCCTGGGCTGGATTCGAACCCGCCAGCTCAGGTGTATGTGTCTGGCACTTTAGCCGCTTGAGCCACAGGCGCCGAGCCTGTCGGACCTTCTATAACCACCACACGCCTCTCTGAGGGCACTTCAAACAGCTATAAGCAATACTAGGACTTGTGTCATGAGGATAATGGGAAGATTAAATGAGATAAGCACATACATGGCACTGATTTAATAATAAGTGCTCACTGTTTCCAAGGTCACTGATAAAAACTCTGCTGTCCCAAACCTAATGACCTTCCTCGAGCCCCTTGCCCTTGACCCCGTGCCCGACTGGCAGGGCCACACTCTCCCTCTCTGCAACTGGACCGGCTGACGCTGGCAGTTTCCTTTCTTGATGGCTTCTTCACTTGCCCCTTGTTGGTCCCCTCCCCAAAAGATGCCCCACCATTCATCATTCCATTCCCTCAGTTCTCTCAAAACAAAAAAAAAAGAAAGAAAGAAAGAAAGGAAAAGAAGGCACAGGTATCCGAAGGAATTGCAGAAAGAACCACTCATTTGTCCGCGTTTCTTCTGCTGCCTTACGATATTTTTAATCATTCTGCTTCCAGGTTTCTTAAAAAATTAAAGAGGCAGTCAGACTTAGACATACCTAAACACCTAAATTAGTTCCGATTTCTCAGTGGAAGACCTTGATGTGTTTCACATGATCTGCAGTTTAATTAGTGGAAAGTGATACTTTCATCACTTTACACTTGAGAAAACTATGACTCAGATACTAAATTAATTTTCCAAGATCGCACTGCTTTCTGCCTGAGGGGACACAGCAGCTGAACTCAGTCTTGGGTCATGCAACACAGTTCAATTCCAGAGGTCTTCTGCCTTAATAAACCCGGCGCTAATGGAGGCTGAGACAGATTCTTCTGAACACTGCACTCCTCTCCGCGTTCCTGACTTGTACACTTCCCTAAAGGAATCTTGTGTCTACCGATGAAGACTGGGACAGACTATTCTTAACACGATTTACACCTCTCGTATCTACTTTTTATAAAACCTGTCATAGGGTGGGCCCTGTGGCTCATGCTGATAATTCTGGCACTGTGGAAGGCAGAAGCAGGTGGATTGCTTAAGCTCAGGAGTTCGAGACCACCCTGAGCAAGACTGAGAACTCCCATCTCTACTAAAAATAGAAAAACTAGCTGGGTATGGTGGTGCATGTCTGTAGTCCCAGCTACTCAGGAGGCTGAGGCAAGAGGATCGTTTGAGCCCTGGAGTTTGAGGTTGCTGTGAGTTATGAGGCCAGGGCACTACCCAGGGTGACTGAATGAGGATCTAAAAAAAAAATTGATAACAAAATAAATGAAATAACCTGTCATTTTAAGGTAATCAGCGCAAACCATCTCACTGTTACTATCTCTGCTGGAAGGATAGTACCATCAAAAGTATAGTCAAAATGTAGCCAGTGCTTCCTGAAAGGTCTCCATCCAGGATGCAGAATAGGCCCAGGGAGAAGGATCTGCCCTAAACCCAGCCCGAATTTCCCAAATTACTGAACAGAGAGATATCTAAAGCTAACCTATATTAAAAAACTACTGACCCCAAATTAGAAAAGGGATGCTCCTGGGGCCTCTCCTGATCCCCTTGGCTCAAATGTGTCCCCTGCCCCCCCCACCCTCCCTCCCCAGCCCTGCTCGGTTCCAGCACAGCCTGGTCTGGCCAATCCTGAACCGGCCTCCTCCTCCAGTTCCCTTTCTCACTTCAAGTCAAGTCTCTCCTGCAAGTCAAGTAGCTCAGAGCTTTCTGGGTTTCTAATCCTCTCGCCTCATTCCAAAGATAAACCAAGAGCTCCATTTGGGCCCCAGCTCCTGCATGGTTCATGAATTCTGCCAAATATTTACATTCAAGCACCTTTTCTGTAATTAGAGAACCCAGCGTTTGGTATACAGTTCAAGGGATTTTTTTTTATTTTATATATGTTTATTTTCAATATAAATTTATTTAAATCACTTTGGACTCAGCATGTCCTTAGGTTTTACCCACTGATCAAACTGCTCTGCTGTGAGATAGCCAAGTTCAATAGCGCCATTTGTCACTGCTCCAAATAAATTTGAAGCTCTGGCTGCTCATGATGCTCTGGTTGAGCTCAGTGGAGCCATGAACACTACTGCTTGCAGTCTGATGAAGATAGCAAATGATGTTTGTTTTCTGGGTCTGGTCCTCAGTCAGGTCTAGGTGAACTGATCTTGCCTGAAAACGAACCAGGAAGCAGTATCATGCCAAGCAAAGTGAACCCTACTCAGTGTGAAGCAATGACCATGGTTGCAGTTCAAGGGATTTTAAGCAAAAGCAAACCGGCCTGGGGGAGAGAATTCAGGGGAAGCCTTCTTCAGACCAGCAAAACCACACACCACTGCAGAGAACACTCACTGAGATGACAATGACTGGTTGGAACTTGGTCTTTGGGGCTCAGAAATGTCAGCTACCATCCTCTGTTTACATATGTCTGTCCTTACTGTCCTGTGCCTTGTCTATTCCCAGGGATTGACCTGTTTCATGATATTTTTTGAAACACATATACAGAGTTGGACAATTAAGTTCTGGAACTCATCCTAACAGAAGTGCTATGTTTCTCATTGCAAAATGTCACTATGGGCACTTTTTTTTTTTAAGACAGACTCTCTCTCTGTCACCCTGGTCAGAGAGAGCTATGTTGTCATCACAGCTCACAGCAACCTCAAACTCCTGGGCTCAAGCGATTCTCCTGACTCAGCCTCCCAAGTAGCTGGAACTATAGGCACCTGCCCCCACACTTTGTTAGTTTTTCTATTTTTAGTAGAAAAAGGGGTAGTAGAGATGGGGTCTCGCTCTTGCTCAGGCTGGT